GAAGCAGGTTGCTATGCAAGAGGTTATGAGACACCTACCTCACAGTACTGGCAGGTATTAGGAATGCATCATAACTCAGAGGAGGAATGGACACAGAAGCAGCAGCAAACTTTTCATTTCGTTCTAGTTATGCCCATAAAACTATGAGGGTGATAAACTCGTTCATATCCCATAATCCCCTGCCCTTCACACTCACTGTATTTATGAATAAACTATAACTTGATATTAGAAGGTGACAGACTCATAGATGAGTGTTTATGATAATCACCGAGTTATTATCATACCTTTCAGACACTGAAGTAAACACTACAGTATCTAAGAGGGAAAACAGCAACACACAGCCAAGCCCACCCCCAGATCACCATAACTGAAGCTTCCAATTCTGAAGGTCAGTGACATATAAAAGAAAGCTTGTTCTCGGTCACAAAAGAAGAGTTAATAACACAGCAAAGCACACTGGGCAGTAGAAAATCGCAGTAAAGTGGCTTTAAAGAGGCGCAATCTTTACATGCAGCCTGTGAAAAAACCACGGTAAACCACACAGCAATAAATAACAATGGATTTTAAAGAGGAAAAAAGAAATCCGAAAAACATTGTCCAGGACCACATTACTGGTACAGGTTGCCTCATATATGTTTTATGTGCTTGTAAGGCTGCTTTTTTTAGAAGGAGAGAGAGAGAGAAATTAGCAACATGCCTCAAAAATAGAACACAAGGAAAGAGTTGCTTGCCATGAATGGAAATCCTACATGGAAGACTTTTCTCAAGATCTGGGGTTTCCAGTCAGCTAGAATTAGGAAGAATGGGGAAGACATTTGAATTGGTTCATATTTAAAAGCAAGCTTAACATACTTTGCAGTTTTTGAAACAATATGCAAGGTAGACAGAGAATGGAAAAAAGACCTATTCGCTCACTGCCGCTGAGATCTGTGATTTTCAAAGTCTGATCCTAAGAGGATCACAGGTTGGGGTTTTTTGTGGAGAGACTGGTAATGGTAGTTGAGCTTCTCTAAAACAAAAACAAAAAAAATCCTCTACAGATTCAGGGCAGTGTTGGTGTAATTTCACAACCTGGATGGTCGTCCTCAGAAACTGTCCTCATTTATCAAAGGAACACACAAGAATGTTCCTGGGAATCTTCCACAATGTGTATGGAGCCATCTTTTCCTTCCTGGCAGTAGTGTAATCTGTGGGGGAGGACACAAACTGGTAGTGGGTGGAGTCAGAGCCAGTGGTGGGTGGAGCCAGAAACTAAAGTATTCTGGATTAACCAGAATACGTCCCTGAGTCAGGTTTTATCACGACTACCTAAAATTAGAATTCCCAATCCTATGCAGGTTTATTTAGAATTAAACCCAGCTGGATTTCATGGGGTTACTTTCAAATAAGTATACAGAAGATTGATTTCTCTTTTTTAGTGCAACGGACTAATATAGCAATTGCTCTGAAAAGCAAGCGAAAGTAATTCCCTCCTGACTTGTGTGCACATTCATTTGTACACACACAAACACCCCCCCACACACACATGCAGTAGAAGCCTACCTATCAATATACCACCACATTGTACTAGATTTGATTCACACCATTGGTGTGGTGTGACACAGCGGAGGACATCATTGTACATGATCTCACCATATACGCACACACGTGGTTCTGCTCCCCCATGATTCACCCATGAAAACAGTGGGAAAGAACTGCATGAGGGAAAACTGCTCTGAATTTCATCACATGGCACTATCTATGAAAAGAGTGGAGGAATTGCAGCTCAAAACTCCCATAATTATCTGTGTTAATAGGGTTTGGAACAGATTTTTTTCCTGGAAGCAACTAAAACAGAGATGAGAGCTAAACTTCTGCTAGATTCCCAGAAGTGGCTTTTATGTTGTGGGATTGATCACATAAACCATGGAAATCATTAGGCAAGGCAATATCAGGGGAAATTGAATCCAGTGGAGTCTGGATGCGCCCTCCGTCTAACAGTAGGGCTGGCCCTTCTCAAAACAGATTTCCGTCTCCATGGCAAGCTGGTTTTCAAACTTAGGGGAGCTTCTAAAGCTGTTTCTGATCGATAAGGTCAAGTGCTCAAAGACTAAGCAAAATAAAAGCAAAGCTCAGTTGGCTAACACAAATCCTTAGCAAGTGCCAGAGCTGCTTTTTAGGAGCCCAACCATAACAAATAAGTAAATGAGCAGGAAATATTGTAATTCAGAATAAGTAGGAAACTGCCATTGCATTGAAACAGAGATCAAGTTAATGACCATTGATTAAAGACATAGAAAAACAAAAGTGTTCTCTCTGCTTCCCTAATGAGAAAAGATGTACCACCAAAAGACAAAGAAGCCTAGCTTGAATTCTTATCATCACTATACAAATTATTTGCTCATGGTAGCTTCTGAAGCAGCGGACAAGACGCTTCTGGAATTAAGATAAATGTGGAAAAATCTACTGGTCCAGATGAAAGAATTGGTTACTCCGACACAATGGCAAAAAGTAAAGCAATGCAACCTACTTGCATCTAATAAATTGCAAGCAGTAATGAACCAAGGACCAAAGCTTATGGGATGATCAGGCAATATATCTGACATCATCATTACCTAGAATCTATTCATTACGATACCGCTGAGCCGAGGCATCAAGAAAAGATCATAAATCTAGAAGGCCCAAGGTGATGATGCGATCTCATTGGCATCAAGCGCTCTGTGAAAATTCAGAGCGAGACAAAGGCAGCGCTAGGGAAGGTTTTCAAAAACAGATGTCTAAGACATTCTGACTCAAAACTGTGTATGTGACCTGAAGAAGATATAAGGAGTTTAGAAAACATAGCTGGGCTGAAATATGGGCCACTTTATTTAGCATACATGATATCCATACGGGAACCTTGGAAGCTGCCATATTCTGGAGTCAGGCCATTGACCCATCTAGCTAGAAGTGGCTCTCCAGGGTTTCAGATAGGGGTATCTCAGAGTTCTATCTGGAGATGCCAAGGAGTGAATCTGGGGCCTTCTGTGCTCCCTTGCTAGTTGGGACTTTACAGATAAGGGTGCTGCAGGGAGGTTATTACATCAAGGAGAAACAGGGAGGTGATCTCAAAAATCTATAGAGTCTGAGGGTACAGTACTGCTATGTTAGCATGCATGCCTGTGCATGGAGAGATAGTTGTGGCATTTCTCAGCCCGGTCCCTGCAGAGACAAATGCCTACATGCTTCACTGCAGACCCATTATCCCAATAAGTCCTTTGGGCTTTTGCAGTAGATGAGCCAGCAATGTTGGACTGTACCTTTGGGCCTGCTGACAGAGGTTTGTTGCAGCAAAAGTGGGAATTCGGCTGTAGAAAAACCCAACAGGGATGGGGAAGATAAAGGGTTCTGCTTGCTTGCTCTGCAGCTTGCTCCACACACTGGGAGCTTACATTCTCAAATTCAACACAGGGGAAGAGGAGGGAATATGGAAGTATGAAACAGGTTCTTGCAGTGTCACATGCTTTAGTTCAGCTACTAGGCTCAGTGGACAGCAGTGACTCTCTAAGTGGGGTTGAGTCAGTGCATTAGCTTCCTGGCAGGTGGGTAACTGTGGCTTATCTGGGGAGGAGGCAAGAGTGTCAGCTTGGCCCTGTGACTGTGGGTGCCTGGGGCCGTGGGTGCCATGCAGAATGCATAGCCCTGGTGCTGAAATTTGTGGGTGCCCAGCTTCCTCATGGGGAATTTTGTGGGTGCTTGGAGACCCAGGACCCCAGGGAGTCGGCACCTATGGGAGGAGGACAGTGCAGTCCAAACACACAGGTGGAGTCAATCCGGCATTCCTGGCAATGAGTTTGCACCGCGCTGACCTTCCCACCATCTTACTGCTCCCCTCTCCTTTCCCGTAAACAACTAGGAAGCTAGTGTAGCAGTTCCATTCCACCCAGCAAGATGGGGAAACCCATGGTCTCATGAATCCTCCCAAATTCCTGAATGAAAGCACAAGCATTAAACGGAAGTGGAAAGCTCCATCTCGCTCTCTTTAAAAATCCAAAATAAATCAGAAGAGGAGATTAGCCATCTGGACATCTAAAAGAGGGCTCTGAATGCTCTCAGGTTGTCATGTCCCTGCACATCCATTGCTGGCAGCCATTCCACACAGAGGAAATCTAAATCTGACTGTTGAGCAATCAACCGGACAGCCGATGATTGATGGGAGTGGAACCTACCCATTATTAATCTGCAGGTACCTAATTGCTTAGTTCACTCAAGTAGCACTTTGTGCCGAGAATACTGTGCCAGACATTTTCTTCATTGCCGGCAAAAGCTATTCACATTTAAGTGGCATGTGGGCACTACCGCCTGTGTGGGAAAATTGGGATGGCGATGAAGTGACTTATGGTTTAGTGCAACGGCCTCCCTCACCCCATCTCTTCTTCTGCCTTTTTTTTTTTTAGCGATTCTCAGATTTACTGTAAAGGTTAAATAAGATTGTGAAGTATTACGAGTGACCGGCAGTTCTCTCGTCTTGTGCTGTGATCTTATTATGCTCCTGAAGCTAAGCAGGCCTTGGTTGGGATGGACATTTGGAAATGAGATATTCTGGGAAGTATCTGTGTCGAGGCTGAAATCTCTGGTCCTTCGCTAAAAGGGGCAGTGCCAGGGCAGAAGCAGCTGTCATTCCGGTTAACAACCAAACTAGATGTGATCTGTAGATCACACTAGACAGAGTGCTTTTTTCCAGCCAGGGCTGGTGTGCCAGCTATAACCATACTTGATAACAAGGGAAAGCTGGGCAACAGTGGTGCTGTTCCTGGTAATCTCTAGATTGGAATATTGCAATGCAAGCTAAGTGGGACTACCTTTGAGGTTGGTTCAGAAATAATAATAATAATAATAATTTTAAAACCATGCCTTTGGTTCTGGAGATCCCGGACTGCCCAGACAACAAGACCCCTGCCTCTCATCCTCTCTGGTGTGGCTCAAAGGAAAGCAGGGCAATATGTTTGGAACCAGCTGGGCTGCGGGAATTGCTGGAAGGAGGATAGCTCAGTTGGTCGAGCATGAGACTCTTAACCTCAGAGTCATGAGTTTGAGCCGCATGTTGGGCAAAAGATTCCTGCATTGTAGGGGGTTGGACTAGATGACCATTGTGGTCCCTTCCAACTCTATGATTCTAAGGAGCCATCCGACTGTGTATGGTTTCCTAAACAGCTTTTTAAAACATACTCTGCACCATGCTAATGATCAACAATTATCTTTCTCTGCTTCGATCTCAAAAAATCTCTGTAAATCGATTCATTTTTCCTCAATTTATGCCTGAACATGCTAACGACTGGTGACTGGAATTGGCTGCAGAGGAACCAACTGATTGTGTTAAGCATTAAAAGACGGTTGTAACGTGGTATTTGTGATCCTTCCTCTTCCAAAAAATTCTCAGTTCATATGTATTCTACCTAGGAGGTCCGGATTTATTATTTATGAATTCAGTTCCTCCCTCCACATAAAATATTAAGAGCAGTTATATATAGCACTGAGAAAAAACGGGCTGATTTTCATCCAAGGTGTGCTGTATACTGTATCTGAGCTCATTGGCAAAAGCCACCTATAGCTGAAGGCTTGAAATTATGCTGTTCTGCTTTGCCCCGCACCTTGAATAAAACTTTTTTTTGGGGGGAAATGTATATGTATTTAGATAAGTCTTTCTAGCTGGTAAATTATTAAATTGCTAAAATGGATTGACAGCATAAAGTGACGCTGGAGGGAAAGGGTGGGTCTGCTTTCAAGGTCGTCCTGCTGTTCTAGAAGCAAAAAGATTACTCAACAGGAGCAGCAGAGCTGACAAATAACACAACCTTGAAGACGGACATCCACCAAGGGAGTCTTCCATTTTAAGTCAGAGCTGAGGGCAAGGTATGACTGATCTAAGAGACCATGTGCAGAGGAGTCCCACAATGTAGCAGGCAGTCTGCCTCCTCTTTTATTATTCTATTTATGGTCTCTCACAGCCTGGAGGATGAGTGTAGGTAACATGGTAATTGTAAAGCAGTGAGCTGAATTGGAAAGGGAGCACAATCTTGTAGCAAATCCTGCTCTGCATAGAACTGGGGCAAGTCACACCCCTTCCATGCTTTTTGCATGTGGCTTGAGCAAGGACAGCACTACACCCAGTTCTTCAGGTGGGATTCTTTTTTTCTTCAGTGTTCAACTTCCTACCCAGAGCATGCCCAAGACATTTTGCTGACTGAGGCAAGGGAGAAGACGCTTCCCAGGTGTGGGCTTAGCAGCTAAGTCTGTCTGCCCATTCAGTTTAGTCTTGCTGGCACTCAATCAAAAGTCTGTTTCATCCTGTCGCATGCCATCGCCTCTCATTCCAATCCATTGTACACATTTGGTGGGGCACATTTTCAGCGGTTTTCAAACAATGTGCATTCTGCACAAATCTTTTACAAGAAAGTATATTAATTTGCATTTATTCTGCATACCAAAAACACATTGCAAAATCCAGAGCAGTGTGTAATCTTACTGGAAGTTACACTCTGTTGCAAAAGCAAGTTTGGGAGTCTTGGATAAGGGACCAAACAGCAGCATCTATCACTGTACCTGAGGGCAACAGGGTCGCTTAGGAAGCACATCATGATGCAGGGCACAGAGAAATATATCAGACCCCTCAACCGTCCCAGAATTGCAGAAGCCATCCCAGCTTCTGATTGGATCTTGGAATGCCCTGGTTTTGGTGTGGTGCTCTAGTATGAGTTAGCTGACTCGTGCAAGAGCAGCAGACCAAAAGATGCATTTATTTTTGTCTGGCGCTCTTGATGCAAATCAGCTAGATCACACCAGAGTGTCAGACCAAAAGATGTTCATTTTGGGGTTTCTCACAAATCAGCTGGGTCATGCCAGAGCACCGGACCAAAAGGTGCTCATTTTTCCATCTTGCGCAAGTCAGCTGGCTCCTGTGAGATTTCGGGACCCAAAAACGAGCATCCTGATTTTGACCAGTGGGATGTTGGAGGGTATGCTATGTTCCCCAACACGTCACTGATGCTGCCCAGCCTTTAGGTTCTGCTACCTGAGGCCACTTTGCCTAATGGCAGGACTGGCCCTGCTCCTACTTGGAAGACCCCAGAGCGAGCACAAGGAAGCACTGCTTCTGCTGTCTGAATACATTCTGAAAGCAAATGCTTTTTGTGCTCACTCTGGGGTCTTCCAGGCAGGAGATTGAACTCGAATTGAAGGAAAATGGTACACATTACCAGAAGCAGTGAGGATGGGAATGGACTGTAGCTCAGTGGCAAAGTGCATACATTGCATACAGAAGGCTGCAGGTTCGATCCCTGGTATCTTCAGCTAAATGAGGACCAGTAGGCAGGTGATGCAAAAGACCCCGCCTAGGACTCCATTACAGCTGCTGCCCGCAAGAGTAGACCATATTGGATGAATAGCTTGACTTGGGATATATCAGCTTCTTAAATTCCTTTCATCAATAAGTTCGCTGTTTTCACTGCCCCTAGTCATACCAACTGCAATAACTGAATTGCAGGCTGCAAATTTTCAGCCTATGAACAGCATCAAGTTTGGTGTGTGCACGCAGAGGGTTGCCTTTTAGTTCAGCATTAATGATTTCAACACAGCTCCGCTGAAGAAGATAACACTACACATACTTTTAATTTACTTCAAACTTAAAGGCATTATCTATTATGTTGTGGTGTGTTCTGCTGCATGCTTCCCTCTCGAAGGGACGCCACCGTGCACTCTCTCCTTCATGGAAAAAGAATCATTGGGAATGATTAATGGGCATATTTAAAGGTCAAGTCACCCCTTTTATATTTCAGTGCAGGCAGGCAGATCTTTTCTTGTCGTTATAGATGTCTGCTGCACCAAGAGGGCAACAGGCTATAATAGGACCCGTCCCGATGAAACAGAAATTATATGCTTGGCAATCTGATAGCCACTATCCACTTCAAGAGTGAATATCTGGTTTTGATATATTACAAATTAAACTGCCAGTGGATTTGTTGGATATTTTGAATCATAGCAATAAGATGGACCTGGGCAGAACTGATAAGGAGGCCTTATTTTTGTCCTACGATCGCTTTGTAAGGCTTGCTTGGGAGCCTTGTATATAAGTTTTAATTTGTGCTAGGAAGAATTTGGACAGCCCCAACTTCCAGGGTCAGTGGGGATTACCTTTTTGTTTGTTTTTGTTTTCACGTACTCTCCAAGTGTCCCCATTTTCCAGGGGCAGTCCCAGAATTACGGAAGCCACCCCAGCTTTTGATTTGACCCCGGAATGTCCTTATTTCCTTTGTCAGTGCTGTTGCCAACGGTGGCGTTTGCCCTCCTAGGTGTGTGACATCATACTGGGTTCATAAGGAAAGGGTTAACTAATTGTAAAATGACTAACCAATGGGAACCCAAGGGGCAGAGTTAATTAAGTATAAGGTTTAAGCACAGAGGGGTTTTGGAGGAGAAGGGAGTTAGAGTTAGGGTGGTTGAGAAGACAGTGTGGAGTTAGAAGAGACAGAGAAGATAAGTCTGTGGGTTGGGCTAGTCTGGTGTGAGAGAGTGAGAGAATTTGTTAAGAGGAGTCAGTCAAACAGTTGAGATAATCAGTCAGAAGGTATTAGGAAGGTATAGGCCGGTAAAGAAACTAAAGTTAAGATAGTAAAGGTAAAGGGACCCCTGACCATTAGGTCCAGTCGTGACCGACTCTGGGGTTGCGGTGCTCATCTCGCTTTATTGGCCAAGGGAGCCGGCGTACAGCTTCTGGGTCCTGTGGCCAGCATGACTAAGCCACTTCTGGCGAAGCAGAGCAGCACACAGAAACACCGTTTACCTTCCCGCTGGAGTGGTACCTATTTATCTACTTGCACTTTGCCATGCTTTCGAACTGCTAGGTTGGCAGGAGCAGGGACCGAGCAACGGGAGCTCACCCCATTGCGGGGATTTGAACCACCAACCTTTTGATCAGCAAATCCTAGGCCACCCACGTCCCAGTAAAGTTAAGATACTGACAGGAATATTATCTGAAAAACCATAAACTTGTTAATGTTTATAAAATAAACTTGTTCATTTGGTTCACTTTTAACAACTGCCTGGACTCAGTGTTTTACCTTGGAGTAACGGGTTGGTGGCAGTGGGAAGCGAGCACAGTGGTGGCACAGGGACCAATAGACCGTTAAATGTCCAGAGACCCTGTGTGATCACCATACCAACAAGCTCAGGGAAGAGGATGAGCTGAGCAGCGGCTGTAGCTGCAGCTGCAAGGAAGTGTTCTGTTGCTTCTCCATGGCCTCCGCTGCCAGCCTCCTTCCTTGGGCAGCTTGTAGTGGCTGCTGGAGAGCAGGCAAGGAGGAGGAGAGGCCTTGAAGCCCCGCATGAGGCGCAGGCCCTGAGGAGCAGGCAGGGCCGCCCTGTGCAAGAAGACAGGGGGAGTGGAGCAGAGTGCAAGGAATCTTGATATTAAAAAATGCCTTGTGTGTCCACGTCTCTCTAAAATTTATTTAATTGGTGTGTGTTTTTCTTTTGTAAATCCACTGAAAAATAAAATAATCGGGATTGGGGATGGTGAAGGTTGCCTGTGTCGTGTCCGGCTGGTGTATTGGTTGTGGGAATGCACGGGACAAAAATGGGTGTGTGTGTGTCAAGAAGAGTCGGTTGGGAGGAGTGAAAAGATATCCCTGTTTTCATCTGAAGAATATTGGAGGGTTTTGCTTTCACCCCCAAGAGACGGATTGCAAGGGGCTGGTTATGCCGCCCCAGATGCGGAAAAGCTAATAAGGGATGCGACCTAAGTGGCTGAAAGGAGCAATGAGAAAAGTCCACTTTGGAATTGAACGAAAGGAAGCTATTTATACTCAAGAGAGAAATCCTCTGATTTGGACCAGTTCAATGCTGTTATAAGCGGGTGCCACCCTCTTTGAAATACTATGACAGGTGTGATAATAGCCTCCTGCACAGGGGATTACCGTGCTCCAGTTTTCTCCACTCCTTCTTCCTGAAAGGAATCAAAAATAGGGTCATTTTGCAATTTTTAAAAACGTTGGCGTGCCTTGGAAATAGCAGTGGCTTAGAACTACAAGATTCTTTCCAATTTACTCCCCTCCTC